TAATAAAGAACGTTGGAAGCCCATCTAGAACTATTAAGACTTTCATCTGTTCTCCATGGGCCATGTTTTTTTTTTGTTTGGGCTTCTTTCTCATTATGGGCTCTTAACTATTTCAACTCAATTCCTTCAATGCTTATTGAGCCTTCATTTTCGTAAAATTTCTTGGTGTGCACTATATGGCTATGGCACATCCATTTAATCTATCTATAGTATTTAAAAAATAATAATTTATATCTAGTTATAATAAATTTTAGATAAATTGCGATTACCATATATTTGTTATTATTGATCTCGAATTTGAATTGGTTTTGTTTTGCTTTAATGAAATAGTAAGTTCATGAAAGCTGAAAAGCTAGAAAATAGACCATCTATTGGAAAAGCTCAAAAATAATAACAAAATTATCATTATTGCAAATTGAGTTTGTTAGATTTATTGTTGTTTTGATAAATTTATTATTGGGGCTTGTTTTCTATGATATATGAAATGTATATTTTAAATTTGAGCTTATTTGAGTTATATTTTAATGTTGAATTGTGTGTTTGATTGTTGAAATATGAAGAACAAGTTGTTGGTTTTGGAGGAAAATTTGTTCACCTCAATGTCATGCCAAAATGTCTAAAGTTCAACCAAAATATATGCCTAACCTCGTGCCAAAATATCTGAAGTTTGGTCTTTAATTTTATTTTTTAAAGTTTTGACTTTTCAAATTCATAAATTCAAATTCAAGGGGTAGTAATTCAAATTCAAGGGGTAGTAATCGTGAAGTTTAATAATCAAAGTGAGGTAAAGTTAACAATTACATATATACTAATGTTTGCAGATTCATAAAAAAATATTTTCCTCTCACTTAGCAATACAAGAATTTAGAATGATATTTCTTTTTTATAGTATGAAAAAAGCTCAACACTACATTTGAAATACTATTTTTTTCAATAATCATTATTATTATGTGTTACATAGACTTCATCCTGCTTTGTCAGCCAAATAATATAGTATTAATTTGTAGCGTCAACCCTAGCACTAATGTACGTTACACTCGTTTCAAAAAATTTGGGTTTTTTTTTTTTCAAAGAACATAGAAAACTATAAGAGAAGCTTATAAGATCAATTAGAAAAAACTTAGAAATATTATGTAGTGTTCAATACTTAACTGAATTGAAAATCACAATAACTAATTATGGATTTGAATTAGAAGTAGGGAATGCATATATGCACCTAAGAGTTCTTTTTTATTCTTGAACTAATAAAAGGGAGTTCGGAGCCAAAAGCACAACTTTTTTCCTTTAAAAAACCTAAACAGCATATCAATTTTTTTTAAAACTAGAAGGGCAAAATCGCTTCTTCAAGCGATATCCTTCTAATTCCGTTTAAGCTGTTAAAAAAAGTTTCAATTTAAGCGATTTTGTTAAAAAAAAAATTAAAACTCTTATCGCTGCTCCAGCAGCGTTGTTGTCCAAAAAAAATAATTTTAAACATTTTTTTCAATTAGCAGCGATTTCTTAATTTTAAAAAATTTGAATTTTTTTTTTCTTAAAATCGCTGGAGAGCAGCGTTTTTGTAAAAAAAAACTTTGAATTTTTTTAAATCTTTCTTTTTGACAAAAACCCTGCTAATTTAAAAAAAATTGAAATTATTTTTTTCTTAAAATCGCTGGAAAGCTGCGTTTTTTTAAAAAAAAAACTGACAAAATCACTGCTGGAGCAGCAATTTAAGAAAAAATAAAATTGAAACTTATTTTTTTGACAAAAACGCTGCTGGAGAAGCGATTTTAGTTAAAAAAAATTCTTTTTGACAAAATCGTTGTTTGGGCAGCGATTTTTAATTGAATTTTTTAACGGCGGAAAACTGAGTTAGTTTTGTGCAAAGCATATCGCTCCTGAGGGAGCGATTTTTCCCTTTTGGTTTATAAAAAAATTGATGTGCTGTTTTATGTTTTTTGAAGCAAAAAAGTTACCCTTTTGACTCCGAACTCTAATAAAAGGCTTTTAGAGTTTATAATTTACGTTTTCGAAAAAATGAGTCTTCCTAAAAAAGAATTGGTTCACAATCTAGATTTTAAAACCATTAATGTACCGCCAAAATGTATAGCGGTTGCTGATTAATTAGAGAAATAGGATTGAATATAATTTGCAAAAAATAAAAATAAAAATTGAGTTCATAGTATAGAAAATTGAAACTATTTGAACTTGTTAAAATTCATTCATCCAACCCACTAGAAGGAATATGGACTTGATCGAGGTCTATCATTTTCTAATCGATCCAAATATTCTTTTGATTGATAATATATTTCACACAAGAAATTAGTTTTTGTAAAAATGAATCTAATGCAAAAAGTAAAAAAAGATGTCATAATCTATTATTTGGAACTTCTATCTCTCTTTCTCTATATATTCTACTATTATATAAGAGGGAGTTTATGATGGGACATTCTATGTGTCCCATCAAAAACTTTCTATATAATATAATATATAATAATATAATATAATAAATCATTTTTTCTACTATATAATATATATAATATATATTTATTTTTTTCTACTATAAGGAAGTTTATATAATATATAATATAATATAATATAATATAATATAATATAGAGGAGTTTATGATTTTTTTCTACTATATAATATATATAATATATATTTTCTCTTATTATATAAGTGGAAGTTGAAGTTATCCATTAACTTGACATGTGGAATTACTAGAGCCCACATATATATTTATATTTTCTACTATATAAAAAAGTAAAAATTAAAGGAATCCCATAGTGTAGGATATAAATTACATCCTATCCCAACTAATTTACATTTTACAAAAAATCCCTTAAAAAGGTAGGCGAATGATACATAGCTACCGTTCTGATACATCGGCACTAATACACGGTAAAAACTTAATGCAGCGCTAAAAAAGGAAAAAAAACGTAATAATCAATTCTGTTAATTTAATTAGCTTAATTTACGCCTAACTGATCCTAAACATTCCTTATGTTATTAGGTAATCTACTCAGCTATTACAAATTTCAAATTTCAAAATTAAATCTTCTACATTGAAGAACAATTTGTGAACATCCATCGATTTAGAAAAAGCTAGAAATACGAATAAAACTTTGATTTTTTGCTAATACAAGATGAATATATCAATTTTACTGAGGCATTCAGGAATTTGGGTCAGCGAAGTGAAATATGAAAGCTACAAAAGTGACGGAATCGTTGTTAGACAATCAATATCATTTTTGAATCTCAAAGCAGCAATTTCAGCCAAGTTGGATATCGATGTATCAAGGAAAAACATTGAAATTAGTTACATAGTAGAAGGTAACTCGTCTCCGATGAAAATTAAGAACGACATGGGTGTTAAACTTTATTTAGAAGTGAAAAAAAGTGAGCCAGGATTTGCAATGTATCCATTATGCATTGACACAAATGAAAAGATTGGCGGTGATGTACATAACTTTGATGGAACATGCGGAGAAATTACGTGTGTAGAAGGCACAACACATGATACAGAAGGTCTTGCGGTGGTTGAATCAAGAATTTGTGATTCGTATTATATTCCAGAATCGGAAGTTACAAATTACATAATTAATTCAAATAGTATAGAGGTGAAGAGAGGTCAGTTATATAAGGATAAAGCAACACTCGTAGATGTGATGGCGAAATATAAGATAAAGAACAACTCCAATTGCAAAGTAAAGAGATCTGAAAGACAAAGGTATGTGAGTATTTGATTTGTTTTGTGAAGAACTGTGTTTGGATTCTTTAGATCTATAAATGGTGATATCATTATTTTGTTTTAATGTATGATACATTATTAATTAGAAAGTCATTGATTTTGATTTTTTGTTTAGTTCGTTGAATATGATTTGTGGTATATTGATAATGATACACTATTTGTTGATATATTAAGTTAATATTGTTGATACGTTCAAATTAGACTGTTTAAACATTAAAGAATTTAATCGCAATAATCATGTTGCCGATACATTCCGTCGTTTTGTGATACATTATTCATTATTTATTTATTTTTTGAATCTAATAAAAAATAATTGTGTTGGTCGTTAATATTATTGATACATTGAGTTAACACTGCTGATACGTTAAGATAATACTGTTGAAACAGTAAATAATCATGTAGCCGATACATTCCAAAAAAATTGTGATACGTGATACAAAAAATACACTAAATTAATTGTGTTGGTCTTTGAAAATTGTTGATACATTAATGTACATCATTCTTTGGTTACTTTGAACATTAGTGTTTTATATATTATAACATGTAACTGCTATATGTATTAATATGATGAAAAAAATTGTACAGTTTGTGTTGGTATGCTTTACGGGTGAATGTGGCTGGACTATGAGGCTTCCTGCAGAAAAAAATCTGATGTTTTCAAAGTTAGATACTTCAATAGTGAACATACGTGTCCAATGCGGGATAGGGTACTAACCAAAGTCCAAGCAACAATCGGGTTTGTAAATGGTGTGACTGCTCCCAAATTGATCAACCATGAAAGAATTCATACTCCAAAAGGTATAATTATTGATATTAGAGAATTCTATGGGGTTCAAATATCTTACCAGCAGACATGACGTGCTAAAAAACGGCACTAGAGATGATAAGGGGTAGGCCATCGGCTGGATATAGACAGTTGCCGAGATACATATACATGCTAAATACTGTGTATCCAAATTCTTATATAAGGATGCAGAAGACTGAGGAAGATGAATTTATGTATCTGTTCGTTGCCTTAAGACCATTGATTAGGGGGTTCGATTACTGCAGACCAATAGTTGTTATCGATGGTGCACATCTGGGCGGAGCTTACAAAGGGACATTTGTATCGGCAAACACACTTGATAGGGAAGATATGTATTTTCCATAGTTGTGAGGTGTTTGTAAATGTTATGTATGAAATGAAATAATATATGTTGCTCTGTAATTAGGTTGCATATTTCCATTGGCATATGGTGTTGTGGACACTGAAAATGATTGTTCGTGGACATGGTTCTTCGAACAATTTTTAAAAATGTATTTGGCGAGCGCGAAGAAATGTGTATTGTATCAGATAGGAATGAGAGTATTATGAAGAGTGTAAGGATTGTGTTCCCAAATGTACCTCATTATGCATGGATATGGCATCTTTGGAAGAATGTCTGTGGAAACTTCAAAAGGAGCAGAAACACCCTAAGTGATCTATTTAACTCTATGGCCAAGGCATACAAAAAGGAGGGTTTTGATAAATTGATGGCTAAGGTTGATAAAATTGATCACAGGGTTAAGGAGTACCTTGAGGATGCAGGGTATGAGAAGTGGTCGAGAGTTCATTCAACAGTAAATAGAGGTAGAATGATGACTTTGAACATTGCGGAATGTATCAATGGTTGTCTTGTTGAAGCACGACAATTGTCTATATTAGAATTTTTGGAAGAAGTTAAAATTCTATTTGGTTCTTGGCATTGCAAACACAGAAAAATAGCCTATTATACAAAGGACACATTGGGGAGAAGATTTGAGGAGGTATTGATTATAATAGCGTCTAAAAGTTCGAAGATGGAGGTATGTGTCATGATACATTATTTTGTATGTATCTAATTCGGTGTATCATTCTGCTGTTTGAACATGATTTCTTTGAAATGATTTTATAGGTGACTTTTTTAATGTACGCAGGTTGTTCCATCATCTGAATTTATTTTCTCGGTTTATGAAGCTGGAAGAAGATATATTGTTTGTCTTGAGCGGAAAGTATGTTCTTGTGAAAGATTTCAACTAGATGAGATACCTTGCGCACATGCAATCGTTGTTTTAAAGGAAAAGAATGTTAAAGATATGCATCCATATTGCTCTGATTACTACAAGCCTGATGCATTAGCAAAAACATATGAGATTCCAATGGTTCCAATGCCAGATAAAGAAGATTGGTCAGCTCCTGAAGATGTGTAGCTGAAACTGTGTATCTACCTAGATACAAACGGTTAGCTGAACGACCAAGAAAACAAAGAAAAAAGAATGTAGATGAAAAGATTACAGTGAACACAAATTGTTGTGGACAAGAAGGTCACAACAGAAGAACTTGTACTTTCTTTCCAAAAGAAAAGTGAAATCATTATAATGTATATATGACATTAATGTTTTTATTGAATAATTTTTCACGTAAACAGTTATCAAATGTTATTAATCAGTATTGTTGTTCAAAAATAATTAAATTGTATTGTTTACATTTGTTAGTAATAAGTATTGTTGTTCAAAAAAATAGTTTGTTATGATTTGTGTATCAATGTTAATTCTGTTAAATAAATTTTAAAGTGCAATTATAATTATAAATAAAATGTTGGTTAACGTATAAGCTAATGTATCATATGTATTAAATAATAAATAATTTCAGTATTGTATCATACACATCAAATTATATAACGTTTGTTGTATCATATATGTTAATTGGTTACTGTATCATTTACATTAAAACATACACAACCTATATGTTAGCAATAAGTTATTAAATGTGTATCATATACTATATATATTATGATACATACTTTAAACAATGAAGTTTGTAAACAATTTATTTAACACAATAATTATTGTCCTTGTATGCATCACAATCAACAAAGTTTGTTCGCTCAGTTTTTTCAAAGAATCCACTGTCCATGAGGTAAGAAGGAAGCATTTTAGACAACATTTTTATCTCGTGCGGAATTGCTTTTTTCCTTAAGCCTAATGAAGAGTCATACACCCTTATCATCCTATTTTTCAATTCAACAACAGCCAGCAACCAATGAAATTGTCCACCGCAATTAACCGAGATGTAAACATCGTCTACAAGATGCCATGGTAAAGCAGTTGGAATTTCAAAACCTTTCATGATGTTGGTGATTGACCTCTCATATACAGATACAGCTGAAGCGCGATCAATGTGTTCTTGGGTACTAATAAGATCATCATCATTAGCCAGGTAATACCTTTCATAGGTATTTTTGTTGTGTGAGATGAACAAATAGTTGATTGTTGTGTATCAGTATTGATTCGTGCTGCGGAGTTTTGATTTTTTACGGATGTAGTAAAAAACAACATCGATGTGCTATAAAAAAAACATGATAAACGAAATTATAAACTTGTAAAAAAGGTCTATGATAGAATTGATACATTGAATGAATTTTTTGTATCCTGTTGTTCTATACCAAAGTATCTGATACATGCTCAATATGTTTCATTAAGAAGTTTACCTGATCAGTCCAACATTTGTTTGGCTGTGACATGACATAGAACCAGTTCTTGTTAATTGGAAATGCAACAACAAAATCCATTATCTCAAATTCAAAAAAAGAGGCTTTTGATCTGTATTTATCCTCCGATAGTTTCCTGTGATAATATTTATATTATCAATTGGTTACATCAAAATAAGTTTATCCAAACATTTACAAAATATATGTATAAAACTTACTTATTGGCATGATTTTTGAGAAGCCCCTTGGTTAACCACTGCATATACTCATCAATTAGTTTAGACGAAGGTTGATATGTAATCCCACATCCTTCAAATGGGAAATACAGACGAACATCGTCATCCAATTTCTGTTTTCCCTTCTCACTTGACCCAAAAGAAGTCACGTATGGAGATTGAATAATTCTTGAAGGCATCCTGTTTCTAGGCGCAAGAGTCTTTGAATGACTTCTAACAACAATCTCGGTGGTTGAAATATCAGTGGGTAATTGACTATCAGACAACAAATCATGACTGTCAGTTAAATTCTTTGGATTGTAAACACACAATGGTTTAGCATGAATGGGAATTTTTCCTAGATCGGATACAAGGGCATCTATTGTTACTTGAGTTGAGGGCGATATTATTATTGATGTGGAAGAATCCTGTATAATATGATATTATATATATTTTTAGTATCATTGCATATAATGAATAATAGTGTCATGATGCATAATTGATTAATTTACCGATGTATCAACTGTTATTTTATTGGACACAAAATGACGGTTGTTGTGTTGAATTGTGTCAACTCCATCTTCATCCATGTTTACTTCATATAAATCTTGTGGGGCTTGATGTGCTTCATCATCCTAAATTAAGCATGTTGTATGTATTAGTTATCCCTAGAAAAATTGTGTATCATATATAAATAAAGAGAGAGGATAATGTATCAAAGAAAATTGTACTGTTTAAAGTTTTGATCATACTGATACCTTCTTAGGATCATTTAATTCAGTATCAACATGAGTACTTTTATATGTAGGCTGGAGCTCTGAAACATGCCTTATTTGTTGTTGGTTACTGATAGTATGATCAATCTATATTTGAATTTTTAATAATAAAAAAACTTTTAACATAATTGTCACTGATATATTATTTAACATAAGTGATGAATATAAAGTTGAAATATATAACTGATTAATGAGATAGAAGATTCGGTGAATCACCTTAACTATATATATGATCTATATATGCTTATACATATGATTTTGATTCTTAATACATACTTAATATATGAGGTAAAACGTGATGTGAGATAAAATTTAGGAATGAACTCCCTTAATTTAGGGCAGGAGTCTCGACGACAAGACGTGAATCTGATATTATGGTGCCCATATAGACCGAAATTCCGTTATGGTCCAATTCTGATCGGTAATAAATACCGGGACTTTGCAATTACAAACAATGTATCAGATACATACCTCTGCATTGACAGTAACTTGATGTCCACCCTCATTAACATATATACCAACCTCAAAATCAGCTACACCAACTGCATCATCAAGATCAGTCGGTATATATGAAGATGGTTGTTTATTGCTTGATTGAGGATCAACTTTGTTGTTTCCTTCTGTCGAGATAGCATTAACTGCGAGTGATTTTCCTTTATCAAGATTACAAGTTCCTCAAATTTCTTGTCAACCTATCAAAAAATTATAAAAAAAACAACTACAATTAGAGTCAATATAAAGAAAAAATAATAAAATCAAAACAATTACTTACGTAATTCTTCAAATGATCTTTTAGTTCTTCAATATCTGGAATTACATAGTTGACTTTTTGAGCATCTGCAGAACTGTGTACATTAGCAATCGGTGTCGGAGGACCATCCTAAATAGAAAATGGTTGATTTAATGACACATTGGACTGATCTGGCTGACTGGGTTCTGACACCTTTGCTTTAGGTATATCCACTTTCTTTCTTCTTTTTGGTGGTGGTGGAGATGATGTATCAGACACTCTAGATGATCTCCTTAACAACTATTCGGGAGGTCTTGTGGAGAAATCATTGAAATCAACAATGTTATTCGGTTGAACTATCTTGGGATTGACAGATGTTGTGGTGGGTGAAGAAGGAGGATCATGTTCATCTTCAGGTAAATCAAAAGTTGCAAGTTCCTCCGGTGTTGGCACAATGTTTGAACATGCATTTTGGAAAAATAATTTTTTTGAATATTAAGAGATAAAATTATGTATCCTAACACAGAAAAAAAATGATTTTAAAAAGACAAACTTGCAACATTACAACTATATACTTAATTATGTATGAAATGTAATATAAAATGGGATTCAACGTTACCTCTTGAAAAATGCTAGTCATAAGCATTTCAAACTTTGGCTTTAAAGCCACAACCCTCCAATTGCAAATTCTAGGGATGACATTCCGTTCTTTGACAGCAATTTCAGGATTTAATTGGGATGCAAATTCATATGTCCATACGTTAAGTGCATAAGGCATTCCATATAACCGATACAACTGTTTGTTAAGATTGAAATCCTGTCAGAGTGAATCCATGTGTTTTGTGAATGCAATCTGTCCCCAAGGATATACTTGATATCTACCATCTTCAACCATTAAGAATTCGTTAACATATATTGAAGAATCACCAGTTTGAGCCAAAATGAATGTATGGAGAAAGTACAGGATAGTCATCTGGAGTGCATCCTGATTATTCTTGCAGTTGCCCATCAAAATCGTTGGACTAGATGATTTTTGCTTACACTTTTAACTGCACCACGAAAATATTTTTGGAATAGCCTACATGGAGTTGATTCTGGGTATTCAAAGTCTTTGGTATTGCCTTTACATTTAAGACCAGTTGTTATTGCAAATTCTTTGATACCAAATTTCAAGATACCCTCGTTTGCATGCCTAATATGCAATACCTTTGAGTTGCCTTGTTCCAATTCTAACAACAACAAACATTTACTGATTTGGCCTTGAAAATTACATTTTGAAATGTCTAAATAGGGTCCAAAATTATAGATCTAAACAGTTCAATTACATCATCCCCTATAGACTTCTGGAACTCCTCCAAAAAATTTGTGTTAAAAGGGACACCAAACCTTATTGCATGTGTTGGTACCTTTTTTACAACATATTTGATTGACGACAAAATGAAAAAGAAAATTATACTAAATAAAACACACATGCATTACCTAGTAATGATACATAATAAAAACAAATTGATACATAGAAAAATATGTGCTACCAGACTTTAACAGAATCGTATTATAAAAGTTGATACATTAGACAAAAGGATGCCCTGTATGATATATTATTAATGGTACTTTTTTTATAACATATTTGATTGACTGCAAAATTAGCACATACTATTTATAATGATATCTTATGATACATAAATAAAAACACCAAATCACACTACACAACAAGTAATGATACATAATAAAAACAAGTTGATACATAGAAAAACACATGTTACCAGACTTCAACAGAATCGTATTATAAAATTTGACATTATACAGAAGGATGCCCTGTCTGATACATCAACGACTTTTTTGTTAAATTTGACAAATCTCTTTTTCATATTGGGGTTTGTCATGTATCATTTTTTTAGATACACATATAAAACAAAGGTTTTATAATTTTGGACTAAATCTCAAATCAGTATATATCAAACTAAGATAGTGTTTTTGAATGTATCATGATTTAACCCAA